TATATATATATATATATATATATATATATATATATATATATATATATATATATATATATGTCGTACCTAGTAGCCAGAACTCACTTCTCAGCCTACTATACATGGCCCGATTTGCCTAATAAGCCAAGTTTTCCTGAATTAATATATTTTCTCTAAATTTTTTCTTATGAAATGATAAAGCTACCCATTTCATTATGTATGAGGTCAATTTTTTTTCATTGGAGTTAAAATTAACGTAGATATATGACCGAACCTAACCAACCCTACCTAACCTAACCTAACCTATCTCTATAGGTTAGGTTGGGTTATGTAGCCGAAAAAGTTAGGTTAGGTTAGGTTAGGTAGGTTCGGTAGTCGAAAAACAATTAATTCATGAAAACTTGGCTTATTAGGCAAATCGGGCCTTGCATAGTAGGCTGAGAAGTGAGTTCTGGCTACTAGGTACGACATATATATATATATATATATATATATATATATATATATATATATATATATATATATATATATATATATATATATATATATATGTATATATATATATATATATATATTTATATGCGAAGTTATAAACAGGTTTCGACTCTATAAAGCCAAATAAAAATTATATATATATATATATATATATATATATATATACATATATATATATTATATATTGCACTACAACGTAAACATGCATGTACGTATAGCTTTTAAAGTAATTAATATATACCATAAAAACTTCAGGCATTGAAAAAGTAGACGAATTGCTTAGACAAATAGCGCGTCTGCGAAGATTTTTGGGGAACTAATAAAAATATAATAATAGTAGGGTTGGTGGTTGGAGTGTAGGATAGGGATAAGATACAGGGTGAAGATTAGGGGAGGGGGGGTAGGAGACAAGGTGGGGTTAGGAGATTGGGTGGGGATAGGAGATTGGGTTGGGGATAGGAGATTGGGTTGGGGATAGGAGATTGGGTTGGGGATAGGAGATTGGGTTGGGGATAGGAGACAGGGTGGGGATAGGAGACAGGGTGAGGATAGGAGACAGGGTGGGGATAGGAGACAGGGTGGGGATAGGAGGCAGGGTGGGGATAGGAGACAGCGTGGGGATAGGAGATTGGGTTGGGGATAGGAGACAGGGTGGGGATAGGAGACAGGGTGGGGATAGGAGACAGGGTGAGGATAGGAGACAGGGTGAGGATAGGAGACAGGGTGGGGATAGGAGACAGGGTGGGGATAGGAGACAGCGTGGGGATAGGAGATTGGGTTGGGGATAGGAGACAGGGTGGGGATAGGAGACAGGGTGGGGATAGGAGATTGGGTTGGGGATAGGAGACAGGGTGAGGATAGGAGATTAGTGGGGTAGGAGAGTGTGGAGGAACCAGAGAAGGTTCAGATAGGAAAGACTGTATGATTTATCCCAAATAGGTCTTCGAAATGGGGGGGAAATGGTCCATCACACCCCCCCCCCTTCTACTTCCTTGACAGAAACAGACAGACAGACATCGATGTAAGTGTATGTGTTTGTGTGTGTGTTTGTTTGAGCGTAGCATTGCTAGCTCGGTCGCTAGCTCTCGGCCCCGCCTTCGTATGCATGAGTGCTTTGATATAACATGCGGACGCGGATGGAAGGGGACTTATCCTCGTGGGTAGATGGATAGAAGATATTTTTTTTCCTATGCTACACCTCTTTTTTTTTTTAAGGTGTTGGGAACAGCTCTATATAGTCTACTGCTTGTTAGGTAGCTCTAGCTCTTCTCTTGCTTTAACGATTTTCTACCAGCACACACACACACACACACACACACACACACACACACACACACACACACACACACACACACACACACACACACACACACACACACATGTCGTACCGATTTTCAAAAAGGGTGATAGGGAGGAGGCACTTAACTACAGACCCGTATCACTGACAAGCATCCCCTGCAAAATACTTGAAAGAATAATTAGGCTAAGACTTGTTGAGCACCTGGAGAGCATTGGGTTTGTAAACAAGCACCAACATGGGTTCTGGACAGGGAAATCATGCCTAACAAACCTTTTAGAATTCTATGATAAAGTAACAAGGATAAGGCAGGACAGAGAAGGCTGGGCAGACTGCATATTTCTTGACTGCCAAAAGGCCTTTGATACGGTACCGCACATGAGACTGCTATACAAACTTGAGAGGCAGGCAGGAGTAAGCGGAAAGGCCCTAGTATGGGTGAAGAACTACCTAACAGGAAAGAGCCAGAGGGTAATGGTAAGGGGCGAAAAGTCGGACTGGCGAACAGTAACAAGTGGAGTACCTCAAGGATCGGTGCTGGGACCAATCCTCTTTCTAATTTACGTAAATGATATGTTTACAGGAGTGGAATCATACATGTCAATGTTTGCAGATGACGCAAAATTAATGAGAAGAGTTGTGACAGACGAGGATTGTAGGATCCTCCAAGAGGACTTAAACAGGCTGCAGAGATGGTCAGGGAAATGGCTACTGGAGTTTAACACCAGTAAATGTAAAGTTATGGAAATGGGATCAGGTGACAGGAGACCAAAGGGACAGTACACAATGAAGGGGAACAGCCTACCTGTAACGATTCGAGAAAGAGACCTGGGAGTGGATGTAACACCTAATCTAACTTCTGAGGCACATATAAATAGGATAACGACAGCAGCGTACTCTACACTGGCGAAAATTAGAACTTCATTCAGAAACCTAAATGAGGAAGCTTTAGGGCACTTTACACTGCCTACGTGAGACCCGTCTTAGAGTATGCCGCGCCATCATGGAGCCCCCACCTGAAGAAACACATAAAGAAACTGGAGAAGGTTCAGAGGTTTGCGACGAGGCTTGTCCCAGAGCTACGAGGGATGGGATATGAAGAGCGGCTGAAGGAACTGAACCTTACGACACTAGAGAAAAGAAGGGAGAGAGGAGATATGATAGGGACATATAAAATACTCAGGGGAATTGACAAAGTGGAAATAGATAAAATGTTCACACGTAATAATAACAGAACGAGGGGACATGGGTGGAAACTGGAAACTCAGATGAGTCACAGAGATGTTAGGAAGTTTTCTTTTAGCGTGAGAGTAGTAGAAAAATGGAATGCACTTGGGGAACAGGTTGTGGAAGCAAATACTATTCATACTTTTAAAACTAGGTATGATAGAGAAATGGGACAGGAGTCATTGCTGTAAACAACCGATAGCTAGAAAGGCGGGATCCAAGAGTCAATGCTCGATCCTGCAAGCACATATAGGTGAGTACATATAGGTGAGTACACACACACACACACCCACACACACACACACATACACACACATACACACACACACACACACACACACCCCCACACACCCACACACCCACACACCCACACACACACACACACACACACACACACACACACACACACACACACACACACACACACCCACCCACACACACACACACACACACACACACACACCAACACACACACACATACATATTACGAAAGCATTGACACATGTAAAATCTGAAATAAAATAAGCCAATTGCCAATAAGGAACTAAATAAAATACACCTGATTAGCTACTGCGAAACGACCAATTGGAGAAGACTTTTAAGAAAAAAGCGTATTTAATACCAATTACAAGGGCAGGAGAGTAAGCAAGGAATTGGGGAAAGGATTGATGATCAGAGAGAGAGAGAGAGAGAGAGAGAGAGAGAGAGAGAGAGAGAGAGAGAGAGAGAGAGAGAGGAGAGAGAGAGAGAGAGAGAGAGAGAGAGAGAGAGAGAGAGAGAGAGAGAGAGAGAGAGAGAGAGAGAGAGAGATAGAGAGAGAGAGAGAGAGAGAGAGAGAGAGAGAGAGAGAGAGAGAGAGAGAGAGAGAGAGAGAGAGATACATATGCATAATTTAGTGACAGAATTTTGATAATAGAGTAATATATTGAGATCAATTTATCTACTTACTAAAAAAAATCGAATTTTGATATTTTTTAATAAATTTTGAGATACACATTTGAAAAAAAAAAGTATAAAATCAATTCACATACGAGATAATAAATATATATATATATATATATATATATATATATATATATATATATATATATATATATATATATATATATATATATATATATAATTTTGACACAAAATTTGGATTTTGAAATTGAAGAATCGATTTTTTAAAATTCAAAATAAATATTGTATTCGCATTAAATCAAGGAGGTAGGTATACGCGAGATATAACAAAAATATACCAAAACATACACATCCCCAAGAGTAGTCACTCCCTTATATCACTCAAAATATACCTCAAAACATATCTCCCAACTTGAACACATCAACCAATGAATATACACCTATTTAATCAGAAACATACTCACCATACACCCAGTATAACGAGAGAGCATTATTCGCAAAGCATATTCCAGTTATACCCGCCATTATCAGGACTGTAAATATGCTGAAGAACCTCGATATACCACACCAAGCATAGCTCTGGTCTGGTGGTATGATAAATGGACATACTACAAGTATGCTGACCACCCTTGATGGGCTGGCCGAGTATATCCAAGCATTGGAACAGCATATCTCCCATACAGCAGAATAGGAGCATATCTGGAATACCATTCTACACATACCAGTGATTTCCGACATACCAGCGCCTATCATACCTCCTGGCATACCTGAGGAAGCAAATCTTGGAGAGTATATTAGCAGCATTCTTCAAATATACCAAATTTGTGTCTTTTGCAAAACATATTCTCCTCCCTTACCCTACATAACGTGGTATATATGTAAGGTATAATCAAATTAGCACATATCATATATATATTTTCACCTGAGGGCTCTAGGAAACTCGAACCCCCGACCCCAAGCGTGTGAGACCAAAGTGCCATTAACTTTAAATAAACTCGGCCCCATTTGACCCCTTAACGACCCTTAACTACCCCCCCCACACACACAATTGCCATCCTCATCACTGATGCCATAGATCATCATCCTCATCTGACGGTCTGATGAGCAGGCAGCGTCAGCAGGAAGAAGCATACTCACAGCATACCTCGCGGGGCATAGATATACTCACCACCATCTGGTATATAGCGTCAACTATGCTGTACATTTCCTCTCTGGTGATAAAGCCATCGTTATCGACGTCGTATAGCCGGAACGCCCCTGGAAAACGTAGAAAGAAAATGGGATGTTATGCAGGGAAAGTGGGAAGTTTTAAACAAAGAAAACGTAAACCAATTTAAAAGAGGGTTTAACAGAAAACGCGAAGTTGTATCATAGGGTTCAACAGAAAACGCGAAGCTATATAAAAGGGTTTCATAGCAAATGCAAAGTTATATGAGAGGATTTCACAGAAAACGTGAAATTATATGAGAGGGTTTCAAAGAAAACGCGAAATTATATCAGAAGGTTTCACAGAAAACGCAACATTATATCAGAAGGTTTTCACAGAAAACGCAAACAAATGTATCAGAATCTCCCGAAAACCTCAACATAAACTATTTATTTCCTCAAAATTGTTTATTTTAGATTAAACCAAAACCACAAATACTTACACAGGAGTTTCTCGTCGACATTTCCTCTGGATGTGATAGAGAGCGCCCTGATGAACTCCTCAAACTCGATCGCACCATCCTGCCGTGACGGAGACCAAATTAGTACTGAGGCTCCTGACATGTACAAGGGGCTCCCTGCGCCCACACTATCGTACCGCCCGCCCCCAGCCCCGCTGCCCACCGTACGATGCAGTCAGGTTGTTAAGGTCTATAACAACTGCCAGGGTTATTAAGCAACAATCGCTCATTATAATTAACACTCAATTGTCTAAATTATACACTCTCACTTGTGTAAATGATCAAGAATCACTTGTTTACGAACTCAACAATCACCCGTCAATATAATCAACAATCACACGTCTATATAACCAACAATCACACGTCTATATAACCAACAATCACTCGTCTATATAGCCAACAATCACACGTCTATATAACCAACAATCACACGTCTATATAACCAACAATCACACGTCTATATAACCAACAATCACACGTCTATATAACCAACAATCACTCGTCTATATAACCAACAATCACACGTCTATATAACCAACAATCACACGTCTATATAACCAACAATCACACGTCTATATAACCAACAATCACACGTCTATATAGCCAACAATAACTCGTCTATATAACCAACAATCACACGTCTATATAACCAACAATCACACGTCTATATAACCAACAATAACTCGTCTATATAACCAACAATCAACAGTCTATATAACCAACAATCACACGTCTATATAACCAACAATCACACGTCTATATAACCAACAATCACACGTCTATATAACCAACAATAACTCGTCTATATAACCAACAATCACACGTCTATATAACCAACAATCACACGTCTATATAACCAACAATCACACGTCTATATAACCAACAATCACACGTCTATATAACCAACAATCACACGTCTATATAACCAACAATCACACGTCTATATAACCAACAATCACTCGTCTATATAACCAACAATCACACGTCTATATAACCAACAATCACTCGTCTATATAACCAACAATCACACGTCTATATAACCAACAATCACTCGTCTATATAACCAACAATCACTCGTCTATATAACCAACAATCACACGTCTATATAGCCAACAATCACACGTCTATATAGCCAACAATCACACGTCTATATAGCCAACAATCACACGTCTATATAGCCAACAATCACACGTCTATATAGCCAACAATCACACGTCTATATAGCCAACAATCACACGTCAATGTAATAGAAAATCAATCGTCTAATTTACCAACAATCAAGTTGCTAGTTACTAACAAGAGAGAGACAAAATGAGACACATAGAGTATGAGACACATAGATACATAGAATGAGACACACAGAGACAGAATGAGACACACAGAGACAGTGAATGAGACACACAGAGACAGAGAATGAGACACACAGAGACAGAGAATGAGACACACAGAGACAGAGAATGAGACACACAGAGACAGAGAATGAGACACACAGAGAATGAGACACACAGAGAATGAGACACACAGAGAATGAGACACACAGAGAATGAGACACACAGAGACAGAGAATGAGACACACAGAGACAGAGAATGAGACACACAGAGAATGAGACACACAGAGAATGAGACACACAGAGAATGAGACACACAGAGAATGAGACACACAGAGAATGAGACACACAGAGAATGAGACACACAGAGACAGAGAATGAGACACACAGAGAATGAGACACACAGATACAGAGAATGAGACACACAGAGACATAGAATGAGACACACAGAGACATAGAATGAGACACACAGAGACAGAGAATGTGACACACAGAGACAGAGAATGAGACACACAGAGACAGAGAATGAGACACACAGATATAGAGAATGAGACACACAGAGACAAAGAATGAGACACACAGAGAATGAGACACAAATAATGAGACACACAGAGAATGAGACACACAGAGACAGAGAATGAGACACACAGAGAATGAGACACACAAAGAATGAGACACACAGAGAATGAGACACACAGAGACAGAGAATGAGACACACATGGACAATGAATGAGTCACACATGGACAGAGAATGAGATACACATGTACAGAGAATGAGACGCACAGAGACAGTGGATGAGACACACAGAGAATGAGAGACACGCAGAGAATGAGAGACACACAGAGACAGTGGATGAGACACACAGAGAATGAGAGACACACAGAGACAGAGAATGAGACACACATGTACAGAGAATGAGACGCACAGAGACAGTGGATGAGACACACAGAGAATGAGAGACACACAGAGACAGTGAATGAGACACACAGAGACAGAGAATGAGACACACATGTACAGAGAATGAGACGCACAGAGACAGTGGATGAGACACACAGAGAATGAGAGACACACAGAGACAGTGGATGAGACACACAGAGAATGAGAGACACACAGAGACAGTGGATGAGACACAGAGAATGAGAGACACACAGAGACAGTGGATGAGACACACAGAGAATGAGAGACACACAGAGACAGAGACACAGAGAGACAAATGAGAAACATAACCGTTGAGAGACATGAACACTTACATTGTTCTCATCAAAGACTCTGAACACCAGAGAGGCAAACTTGGTGGGGTCTCCCTGGGGGAAGAACTGCTTGTATATCTTGATGAACCCCTGTAGGAGAGACAGTGTTGGTGAGTGTGGGAGTGTTGGTGAAGGTGTGGGAGTGTTGGTGAGGGTGTGGGAGTGTTGGTGAGGGTGTGGGAGTGTTGGTGAGGGTGTGGGAGTGTTGGTGAAGGTGTGGGAGTGTTGGTGAGAGTGTGGGAGTGGTGGTGAGAGTGTGTGAGTGTTGGTGAGGGTGTGGGAGTGTTGGTGAGAGTGTGGGAGTCTCATTCTTTGGGGCACACGTGAGGAACACAAATGCAAACAAGCCTGAATGGTCCCCAGGACTATATACAACTGAAAACTCACACCCCAGAAGTGACTCGAACCCATACTCCCACAACTGGTATGTACAGGGACGCCTTAATCCGCTTGACCATCACGACCGGACATAAGGAAGTGATAGCCGAGGCTATATGAACCACTTCCCCGCCGGCACTCGGATGGTAATCTTGGGCATAGCATTTTATCAAATCACCTCATTCTTTGGGGCACACGTGAGGAACACAAATGCAAACAAGCCTGAATGGTCCCCAGGACTATATACAACTGAAAACTCACACCCCAGAAGGTACTCGAACCCATACTCCCACAACTGGTATGTACAGGGACGCCTTAATCCGCTTGACCATCACGACCGGACATAAGGAAGTGATAGCCGAGGCTATATGAACCACTTCCCCGCCGGCACTCGGATGGTAATCTTGGGCATAGCATTTTATCAAATCACCTCATTCTTTGGGGCACACGTGAGGAACACAAATGCAAACAAGCCTGAATGGTCCCCAGGACTATATACAACTGAAAACTCACACCCCAGAAGTGACTCGAACCCATACTCCCACAACTGCTATGTACAGGGACGCCTTAATCCGCTTGACCATCACGACCGGACATAAGGAAGTGATAGCCGAGGCTATATGAACCACTTCCCCGCCGGCACTCGGATGGTAATCTTGGGCATAGCATTTTATCAAATCACCTCATTCTTTGGGGCACACGTGAGGAACACAAATGCAAACAAGCCTGAATGGTCCCCAGGACTATATACAACTGAAAACTCACACCCCAGAAGGTACTCGAACCCATACTCCCACAACTGGTATGTACAGGGACGCCTTAATCCGCTTGACCATCACGACCGGACATAAGGAAGTGATAGCCGAGGCTATATGAACCACTTCCCCGCCGGCACTCGGATGGTAATCTTGGGCATAGCATTTTATCAAATCACCTCATTCTTTGGGGCACACGTGAGGAACACAAATGCAAACAAGCCTGAATGGTCCCCAGGACTATATACAACTGAAAACTCACACCCCAGAAGTGACTCGAACCCATACTCCCACAACTGGTATGTACAGGGACGCCTTAATCCGCTTGACCATCACGACCGGACATAAGGAAGTGATAGCCGAGGCTATATGAACCACTTCCCCGCCGGCACTCGGATGGTAATCTTGGGCATAGCATTTTATCAAATCACCTCATTCTTTGGGGCACACGTGAGGAACACAAATGCAAAATGTCCGGTCCGGTCGTGATGGTCAAGCGGATTAAGGCGTCCCTGTACATACCAGTTGTGGGAGTATGGGTTCGAGTCACTTCTGGGGTGTGAGTTTTCAGTTGTATATAGTCCTGGGGACCATTCAGGCTTGTTTGCATTTGTGTTCCTCACGTGTGCCCCAAAGAATGAGGTGATTTGATAAAATGCTATGCCCAAGATTACCATCCGAGTGCCGGCGGGGAAGTGGTTCATATAGCCTCGGCTATCACTTCCTTATGTCCGGTCGTGATGGTCAAGCGGATTAAGGCGTCCCTGTACATACCAGTTGTGGGAGTATGGGTTCGAGTCACTTCTGGGGTGTGAGTTTTCAGTTGTATATAGTCCTGGGGACCATTCAGGCTTGTTTGCATTTGTGTTCCTCACGTGTGCCCCAAAGAATGAGGTGATTTGATAAAATGCTATGCCCAAGATTACCATCCGAGTGCCGGCGGGGAAGTGGTTCATATAGCCTCGGCTATCACTTCCTTATGTCCGGTCGTGATGGTCAAGCGGATTAAGGCGTCCCTGTACATACCAGTTGTGGGAGTATGGGTTCGAGTCACTTCTGGGGTGTGAGTTTTCAGTTGTATATAGTCCTGGGGACCATTCAGGCTTGTTTGCATTTGTGTTCCTCACGTGTGCCCCAAAGAATGAGGTGATTTGATAAAATGCTATGCCCAAGATTACCATCCGAGTGCCGGCGGGGAAGTGGTTCATATAGCCTCGGCTATCACTTCCTTATGTCCGGTCGTGATGGTCAAGCGGATTAAGGCGTCCCTGTACATACCGGTTGTGGGAGTATGGGTTCGAGTCACTTCTGGGGTGTGAGTTTTCAGTTGTATATAGTCCTGGGGACCATTCAGGCTTGTTTGCATTTGTGTTCCTCACGTGTGCCCCAAAGAATGAGGTGATTTGATAAAATGCTATGCCCAAGATTACCATCCGAGTGCCGGCGGGGAAGTGGTTCATATAGCCTCGGCTATCACTTCCTTATGTCCGGTCGTGATGGTCAAGCGGATTAAGGCGTCCCTGTACATACCAGTTGTGGGAGTATGGGTTCGAGTCACTTCTGGGGTGTGAGTTTTCAGTTGTATATAGTCCTGGGGACCATTCAGGCTTGTTTGCATTTGTGTTCCTCACGTGTGCCCCAAAGAATGAGGTGATTTGATAAAATGCTATGCCCAAGATTACCATCCGAGTGCCGGCGGGGAAGTGGTTCATATAGCCTCGGCTATCACTTCCTTATGTCCGGTCGTGATGGTCAAGCGGATTAAGGCGTCCCTGTACATACCAGTTGTGGGAGTATGGGTTCGAGTCACTTCTGGGGTGTGAGTTTTCAGTTGTATATAGTCCTGGGGACCATTCAGGCTTGTTTGCATTTGTGTTCCTCACGTGTGCCCCAAAGAATGAGGTGATTTGATAAAATGCTATGCCCAAGATTACCATCCGAGTGCCGGCGGGGAAGTGGTTCATATAGCCTCGGCTATCACTTCCTTATGTCCGGTCGTGATGGTCAAGCGGATTAAGGCGTCCCTGTACATACCAGTTGTGGGAGTATGGGTTCGAGTCACTTCTGGGGTGTGAGTTTTCAGTTGTATATAGTCCTGGGGACCATTCAGGCTTGTTTGCATTTGTGTTCCTCACGTGTGCCCCAAAGAATGAGGTGATTTGATAAAATGCTATGCCCAAGATTACCATCCGAGTGCCGGCGGGGAAGTGGTTCATATAGCCTCGGCTATCACTTCCTTATGTCCGGTCGTGATGGTCAAGCGGATTAAGGCGTCCCTGTACATACCAGTTGTGGGAGTATGGGTTCGAGTCACTTCTGGGGTGTAAGTTTTCAGTTGTATATAGTCCTGGGGACCATTCAGGCTTGTTTGCATTTGTGTTCCTCACGTGTGCCCCAAAGAATGAGGTGATTTGATAAAATGCTATGCCCAAGATTACCATCCGAGTGCCGGCGGGGAAGTGGTTCATATAGCCTCGGCTATCACTTCCTTATGTCCGGTCGTGATGGTCAAGCGGATTAAGGCGTCCCTGTACATACCAGTTGTGGGAGTATGGGTTCGAGTCACTTCTGGGGTGTGAGTTTTCAGTTGTATATAGTCCTGGGGACCATTCAGGCTTGTTTGCATATATATATATATATATATATATATATATATATATATATATATATATATATATATATATATATATATATATATATATATATAATCCCCCCATGTTAGTACACCACTCAATGATAACTCGATGCGAAGTTATAAACAGGTTTCGACTCTATAAAGCCAAATAAAAATTATATATATATATATATATATATATATATATATATATATATATATATATATATATATATATATATATATATATATATATATATACATATATATATATTATATATTGCACTACAACGTAAACATGCATGTACGTATAGCTTTTAAAGTAATTAATATATACCATAAAAACTTCAGGCATTGAAAAAGTAGACGAATTGCTTAGACAAATAGCGCGTCTGCGAAGATTTTTGGGGAACTAATAAAAATATAATAATAGTAGGGTTGGTGGTTGGAGTGTAGGATAGGGATAAGATACAGGGTGAAGATTAGGGGAGGGGGGGTAGGAGACAAGGTGGGGTTAGGAGATTGGGTGATAGGAGACAGGGTGAGGATAGGAGATTGGGTTGGGGATAGGAGATTGGGTTGGGGTAGGAGATTGGGTTGGGGTAGGAGATTGGGTTGGGGATAGGAGACAGGCTGGGGATAGGAGATTGGGCTAGGGATAGGAGATTGGGTTGGGGATAGGAGACAGGGTGAGGCTAGGAGACAGGGTGGGGATAGGAGACAGGGTGGGGATAGAAGACAGGGTGGGGATAGAGACAGGGTGGGGATAGGAGACAGGGTGGGGATAGGAGACAGGGTGGGGATAGGAGACAGGGTGAGGATAGGAGATTAGTAGGGTAGGAGAGTGTGGAGGAACCAGAGAAGGTTCAGATAGGAAAGACTGTATGATTTATCCCAAATAGGTCTTCGAAATGGGGGGGAAATGGTCCATCACACCCCCCTCACTTCTACTTCCTTGACAGAAACAGACAGACAGACATCGATGTAAGTGTATGTGTTTGTGTGTGTGTTTGTTTGAGCGTAGCATTGCTAGGCTCGGTCGCTAGCTCTCGGCCCCCGCCTTCGTATGCAAGAATGTTTTGATATAACATGCGGACGCGGATGGAAGGGGACTTATCCTCGTGGGTAGATGGATAGAAGATATTTTTTTTCCTATGCTACACCTCTTTTTTTTTAGAGGTGTTGGGAACAGCTCTATATAGTCTACTGCTTGTTAGGTAGCTCTAGCTCTTCTCTTGCTTTAACGATTTTCTACCAGCACACACACACACACACACACACACACACACACACACACACACACACACACACACACACACACACACACACACACACACACACACACACATACATATTACGAAAGCATTGACACATGTAAAATCTGAAATAAAATAAGCCAATTGCCAATAAGGAACTAAATAAAATACACCTGATTAGCTACTGCGAAACGACCAATTGGAGAAGACTTTTAAGAAAAAAGCGTATTTAATACCAATTACAAGGGCAGGAGAGTAAGCAAGGAATTGGGGAAAGGATTGATGATCAGAGAGAGAGAGAGAGAGAGAGAGAGAGAGAGAGAGAGAGAGAGAGAGAGAGAGAGAGAGAGAGAGAGAGAGAGAGAGAGAGAGAGAGAGAGAGAGAGAGAGAGAGAGAGAGAGAGAGAGATACATATGCATAATTTAGTGACAGAATTTTGATAAAAAAGTAATATATTGAGATCAATTTATCTACTTACTAAAAAAAATCGAATTTTGATATTTTTTAATAAATTTTGAGATACACATTTGAAAAAAAAAGTATACAATCAATTCACATACGAGATAATAAATAAATAAATAAATATATATATATATATATATATATATATATATATATATATATATATATATATATATATATATATATATATATATATATATATATAATTTTGACACAAAATTTGGATTTTGAAATTGAAGAATCGATTTTTTAGAATTCAAAATAAATATTGTATTCGCATTAAATCAAGGAGGTAGGTATACGCGAGATATAACAAAAATATACCCAAAACATACACATCCCCAAGAGTAGTCACTCCCTTATATCACTCAAAATATACCTCAAAACATATCTCCCAACTTGAACACATGAACCAATGAATATACACCTATTTAATCAGAAACAGACCCACCATACACCCAGTATAACGAGAGAGCATTATTCGCAAAGCATATTCCAGTTATACCCGCCATTATTAGGACTAAATATGCTGAAGAACCTCGATATACCACACCAAGCATAGCTCTGGTCTGGTGGTATGATAAATGGACATACTACAAGTATGCTGACCACCCTTGATGGGCTGGCCGAGTATATCCAAGCATTGGAACAGCATATCTCCCATACAGCAGAATAGGAGCATATCTGGAATACCATTCTACACATACCAGTGATTTCCGACATACCAGCGCCTATCATACCTCCTGGCATACCTGAGGAAGCAAATCTTGGAGAGTATATTAGCAGCATTCTTCAAATATACCAAATTTGTGTCTTTTGCAAAACATATTCTCCTCCCTTACCCTACATAACGTGGTATATATGTAAGGTATAGTCAAATTAGCACATATCATATATATATATTTTCACCTGAGGGCTCTAGGAAACTCGAACCCCCGACCCCAAGCGTGTGAGACCAAAGTGCCATTAACTTTAAACAAACTCGGCCCCATTTGACCCCTTAACGACCCTTAACTACCCCTGATGCCATAGATCATCATCCTCATCTGACGGTCTGATGAGCAGGCAGCGTCAGCAGGAAGAAGCATACTCACAGCATACCTCGCGGGGCATAGATATACTCACCACCATCTGGTATATAGCGTCAACTATGCTGTACATTTCCTCTCTGGTGATAAAGCCATCGTTATCGACGTCGTATAGCCGGAACGCCCCTGGAAAACGTAGAAAGAAAATGGGATGTTATGCAGGGAAAGTGGGAAGTTTTAAACAAAGAAAACGTAAACCAATTTAAAAGAGGGGTTTAACAGAAAACGCGAAGTTGTATCATAGGGTTCAACAGAAAACGCGAAGCTATATAAAAGGGTTTCATAGCAAATGCAAAGTTATATGAGAGGATTTCACAGAAAACGTGAAATTATATGAGAGGGTTTCAAAGAAAACGCGAAATTATATCAGAAGGTTTCACAGAAAACGCAACATTATATCAGAAGGTTTTCACAGAAAACGCAAACAAATGTATCAGAATCTCCCGAAAACCTCAACATAAACTATTTATTTCCTCAAAATTGTTTATTTTAGATTAAACCAAAACCACAAATACTTACACAGGAGTTTCTCGTCGACATTTCCTCTGGATGTGATAGAGAGCGCCCTGATGAACTCCTCAAACTCGATCGCACCATCCTGCCGTGACGGAGACCAAATTAGTACTGAGGCTCCTGACATGTACAAGGGGCTCCCTGCGCCCACACTATCGTACCGCCCGCCCCCAGCCCCGCTGCCCACCGTACGATGCAGTCAGGTTGTCAAGGTTTAAGGTCTATAACAACTGCCAGGGTTATTAAGCAACAATCGCTCATTATAATTAACACTCAATTGTCTAAATTATACACTCTCACTTGTGTAAATGATCAAGAATCACTTGTTTACGAACTCAACAATCACCCGTCAATATAATCAACAATCACACGTCTATATAACCAACAATCACACGTCTATATAACCAACAATCACTCGTCTATATAGCCAACAATCACACGTCTATATAACCAACAATCACTCGTCTATATAACCAACAATCACACGTCTATATAACCAACAATCACACGTCTATATAACCAACAATCACACGTCTATATAACCAACAATCACACGTCTATATAGCCAACAATCACACGTCTATAGAACCAACAATCACTCGTCTATATAACCAACAATCACACGTCTATATAGCCAACAATCACACGTCTATATAGCCAACAATCACACGTCTATATAACCAACAATCACACGTCTATATAACCAACAATCACACGTCTATATAGCCAACAATAACTCGTCTATATAACCAACAATCACACGTCTATATAACCAACAATCACACGTCTATATAACCAACAATAACTCGTCTATATAACCAACAATCAACAGTCTATATAACCAACAATCACACGTCTATATAACCAACAATCACACGTCTATATAACCAACAATCACACGTCTATATAACCAACAATAACTCGTCTATATAACCAACAATCACACGTCTATATAACCAACAATCACACGTCTATATAACCAACAATCACACGTCTATATAACCAACAATCACACGTCTATATAACCAACAATCACACGTCTATATAACCAACAATCACACGTCTATATAACCAACAATCACTCGTCTATATAACCAACAATCACACGTCTATATAACCAACAATCACTCGTCTATATAACCAACAATCACACGTCTATATAACCAACAATCACTCGTCTATATAGCCAACAATCACTCGTCTATATAACCAACAATCACACGTCTATATAGCCAACAATCACACGTCTATATAGCCAACAATCACACGTCTATATAGCCAACAATCACACGTCTATATAGCCAACAATCACACGTCTATATAGCCAACAATCACACGTCTATATAGCCAACAATCACACGTCAATGTAATAGAAAATCAATCGTCTAATTTACCAACAATCAAGTTGCTAGTTACTAACAAGAGAGAGACAAAATGAGACACATAGAGTATGAGACACATAGATACATAGAATGAGACACACAGAGACAGAATGAGACACACAGAGACAGTGAATGAGACACACAGAGACAGAGAATGAGACACACAGAGACAGAGAATGAGACACACAGAGACAGAGAATGAGACACACAGAGAATGAGACACACAGAGAATGAGACACACAGAGAATGAGACACACAGAGAATGAGACACACAGAGAATGAGACACACAGAGACAGAGAATGAGACACACAGACACAGAGAATGAGACACACAGAGAATGAGACACACAGAGAATGAGGCACACAGAGAATGAGACACACAGAGAATGAGACACACAGAGACAGAGAATGAGACACACAGAGAATGAGACACACAGATACAGAGAATGAGACACACAGAGACATAGAATGAGACACACAGAGACATAGAATGAGACACACAGAGACAGAGAATGTGACACACAGAGACAGAGAATGAGACACACAGAGACAGAGAATGAGACACACAGATATAGAGAATGAGACACACAGAGACAAAGAATGAGACACACAGAGAATGAGACACACAAAGAATGAGACACACAGAGAATGAGATACACAGAGACAGAGAATGAGACACACAGAGAATGAGACACACAAAGAATGAGACACACAGAGAATGAGACACACAGAGACAGAGAATGAGACACACATGGACAATGAATGAGCCACACATGGACAGAGAATGAGATACACATGTACAGAGAATGAGACGCACAGAGACAGTGGATGAGACACACAGAGAATGAGAGACACAGAGACAGAGACACAGAGAGACAAATGAGAAACATAACCGTTGAGAGACATGAACACTTACATTGTTCTCATCAAAGACTCTGAACACCAGAGAGGCAAACTTGGTGGGGTCTCCCTGGGGGAAGAACTGCTTGTATATCTTGATGAACCCCTGTAGGAGAGACAGTGTTGGTGAGTGTGGGAGTGTTGGTGAAGGTGTGGGAGTGTTGGTGAGGGTGTGGGAGTGTTGGTGAGGGTGTGGGAGTGTTGGTGAGAGTGTGGGAGTGTTGGTGAGGGTGTGGGAGTGTTGGTGAGGGTGTGGGAGTGTTGGTGAGGGTGTGGGAGTGTTGGTGAGGGTGTGGGAGTGTTGGTGAGGGTGTGGGAGTGTTGGTGAGGGTGTGGGAGTGTTGGTGAGGGTGTGGGAGTGTTGGTGAGAGTGTGGGAGTGTTGGTGAGGGTGTGGGAGTGTTGGTGAGGGTGTGGGAGTGTTGGTGAGGGTGTGGGAGTGTTGGTGAGGGTGTGGGAGTGTTGGTGAGGGTGTGGGAGTGTTGGTGATGGTGTGGGAGTGTTGGTGAGGGTGTGGGAGTGTTGGTGAGGGTGTGGGAGTGTTGGTGAGGGTGTGGGAGTGTTGGTGAGGGTGTGGGAGTGTTGGTGAGAGTGTGGGAGTGTTGGTGAGGGTGTGGGAGTATGGGTGAGGGTGTGGGAGTGTTGGTGAGAGTGTGGGAGTGTTGGTGAAGGTGTGGGAGTGTTGGTGAGGGTGTGGGAGTGTTGGTGAGGGTGTGGGAGTGTTGGTCAAGGTGTGGGAGTGTTGGTGAGGGTGTGGGAGTGTTGGTGAGAGTGTGGGAGTGTTGGTGAGGGTGTGGGAGTGTTGGGGAGGGTGTGGGAGTGTTGGTGAGGGTGTGGGAGTGTTGGTGAGGGTGTGGGAGTGTTGGTGAGGGTGTGGGAGTGTTGGTGAGAGTGTGGGAGTGGTGGTGAGAGTGTGGGAGTGGTGGTGAGGGTGTGGGAGTGTTGGTGAAGGTGTGGGAGTGTTGGTGAGAGTGTGGAAGTGTTGGTGAGGGTGTGGGAGTGTTGGTGAGAGTGTGGGAGTGTTGGTGAGAGTGTGGGAGTGTTGGTGAGGGTGTGGGAGTGTTGGTGAGGGTGTGGGAGTGTTGGTGAGGGTGTGGGAGTGTTGGTGAAGGTGTGGGAGTGTTGGTGAGAGTGTGGGAGTGTTGGTGAGAGTGTGGGAGTGTTGGTGAAGGTGTGGGAGTGTTGGTGAGGGTGTGGGAGTGTTGGTGAAGGTGTGGGAGTGTTGGGTGAGAGGGTGGGACACGGTGAGGGTGTGGGAGTATGGGTGAGGGTGTGGGAGTGTTGGTGAAAGTGTGGGAGTGTTGGTGAAGGTGTGGGAGTGTTGGTGAGAGCTTGGGAGTGTTTGTGAGGGCTTGGGAGTGTTGGTGAGGGTGTGGGAGTGTTGGTGAGGGTGTGGGAGTGTTGGTGAGAGCTTGGGAGTGTTTGTGAGGGCTTGGGAGTGTTGGTGAGGGTGTGGGAGTGTTGGTGAAGGTGTGGGAGTGTTGGTGAACGCTTGGGAGTGTTGGTGAAGGTGTGGGAGTGTTGGTGAGAGTGTGGGAGTGTTGGTGAAGGTGTGGGAGTGTTGGTGAAAGTGTGGGAGAGTTGGTAAGAGTGTGGGAGTGTTGGTGAGAGCTAGGGAGTGTTGGTGAGAGCTTGGGAGTGTTGGTGAGGGTGTGGGAGTATGGGTGAGGGTGTGGGAGTGTTGGTGAGGGTGTGGGAGTGTTGGTGAGGGTGTGGGAGTGTTGGTGAGGGTGTGGGAGTGTTGGTGAGGGTGTGGGAGTGTTGGTGAGGGTGTGGGAGTGTTGGTGAGGGTGTGGGAGTGTTGGTGAGGGTGTGGGAGTGTTGGTGAGGGTGTGGGAGTGTTGGTGAGGGTGTGGGAGTGTTGGTGAGATATACACAAATATATATGGTGAGATAGACACGAAAAATCTGACACGAAAAAGACTAACAAAAGCTAAAATAGACACGAAAAAACAAAAAAATCTAAAATAAACAAGAGAAAGACTAACAAAAAGCTAAAATAGTCGCAAAAGACTATTCAAAAAATAAAATAGACACAAAAAGACTAACAAAAGCTAAATTAGACACGAAAAAGACTAAGAATTAGACACGAAAAAAGACAAAGAAAATATAAAATAGATACGAAAAGACGAACAAAAGCTACAATAGGCACGAAAAAATTAACAACCGCTAAAATTAAACAAGAAAAAGACAAAAAGCTAAAGTAAACATGAAAAAGCTCACAAAAGCTAAATTAGACACGAAAAAGACTAACAAAACGATTAAAATAGACACAAAAACTATCAAAAGATAAATAAGACACGAAAAACAAACGAAAGTTAAAATAGACACGAAAAAAGACTAACAAAAGCCAAATTAAACACGAAAAAGACTAACAAAAGTTAACATAGATAAGAAAAACTAACAAAATCCAACATAAACATGAAAAAGACAAACAAAAGCTAAAATAGGCGTGGAAAAAAAGCAAAAACAGTTACAGAAAAAGACTAACAAAAGCCTAACCAGACACGAAAAAACAAACAAAAGCTAAAATAAGCATGACATGAGTAACAAAAGCAGAAAAATTCCCTAAAAACTAAGAAAAGCTAAAATAGACACGAAAAAGAATTCCAAAGCTAAAATAAACACGAAAAAGACTTTCAAAGCTAAAATAGACACAAAAATGACTTCCAAAGCTAAAATAGACATGAAAAAAGACTTCCAAAACTAAAATAGACACGAAAAAGACTTACAAAGCTAAAATAGACACGAAAAAGACTAACAAAAAGAAATAAACAGAAAAAGACTAACAAAAGCTAAAATAGACATGAAAAAGGCTAACAAAAGCTAAATTATACACGAAAAAGACTAATAAAAAGCTATTGATTGACACCAAACAAACAAAAACTAACATTTATAAGATATAGAACTAAGAAAAGCTAAATTAGACACCAAAAAGAATAACAAAAGCTAAAAAGACAAGAAAAACAAACAAAAGCTAAAAAGACAAGAAAACAAACAAGCTAAAATTGATAAGAAATAAAACTAACAAAAGCTAAATTAGACACCAAAAAAACTTACAAAATGCTAAAATAGACACAAAAAGACAAACAAAAGCTAAATTAGACACGAAAAACAAACAAAAGCTAAAATATACACGAAAAAAGACTAACAAAAGGTAAAAAAACAGAAAAACAAACAAAATCCAAAAAAATATGAAGACTAACAAAAGCTATAATAGACATGGAAAACAAACAAAAGCTACAACAGATATGAAAAAAGACTAACAAAAGCTTAACTATATACGAAAAAAACTAAAATAGACACGAAAAAACAAAAACAAGCTAAAATAGACATAAGAAAGAATAACAAAAGCTAAAACAGACACGAAAAAACAAGCAAAAACTAAAATAAACATGAAAAATAATAACAAAAGCTAAAATAGAAATGAGAAACAAGAAAAAGCTAAAATAAACATGAAAAAATTAACAAAAGCTAAATAGACACGAAAAAGACTAACAAAAGCTAAAATAGACACGAAAAAAGAAACAAAACCTAAAAAAGGCATTGGAAACACTAATAAAAGCTGAAACAGGCACGAAAAAGACTAACAAACGCCAGAAAAATCACAAAAATGACTAAGAAAAGCTAAAATAGACACGAACAAGACTAACAAATCCAAAATAAAAATGAAAGAGTAACAAATACTAAAATAGACATGGAAAAACAAATAAAAGCTAAACAGATACGAACGAAAAAACAAAAAACAAATCTAAAATAAACAAGAAGATGACTAAGAAAAGCTAGACACGAAAAAAACAACAAAAGCTATAACAGAATCGAAAATATGAACAAAAGCTAAAATAAACATGAAACAGAATAACAAAAGGTGAAAATACACAAGGAAGACTAACAAAAGGTGAAAATACACAAGGAAGACTAACAAGAAGCTAAAATAGACACGAAAAAAGACTACCAAAGGCAAAAGAGACACTAAAAAGACTACCAAAAGATATGACTAAAAAAAAGCTAAAATAGACACGAAAATGTAAACAAAAGCTAAAATAAACATGACAAATATTAACAAAAGCTATATTATACACAATAAACTAACAAAAGGCTAAAATAGACCCCAAAAAAACAAAAGCTAAAATAGACACGAAAAAGACTTACTAAAGCTAAAATTGGCATGGAAAAACAAACAAAACCTAAAATACACACGAAAAATACTAAAAAAAGCTAAATTAACCACGAAAAAGACACTCAAAAGCTAAAATAGACAAGAAAATACAAACAAAATCCTAAATAACTATGAAATAGACTAGCAAAAGCTAAAATAGACATGGAAAAACTAACAAAATCTAACACAGGTACATAAAAAGATTAACAGAAGCTTAACTAGACACGAAAATACAAACGAAAGCTAAAATATACACGACAAAACTAAAACAAGCTAAAATAGACATAAGAAAGACAAAGAAAATTTTAGATAGAAACGAGAAAGACAATCAGAAGCTAAAACAGACACAAAAAACAAACAAATGCTAAAATAGACACGAAAAAACAAACAAAAGCTAAAATAAACATGAAAAATAATAACAAAAGCTAAATAGACACGAAAAAGAAACAAAACCTTAAATAAGCCTAGGAAAAACTAACAAAAGCTGAAACAGACACGAAAAAGACTATCAAAAGTTAAAATAGACAAGAAACAACATACAAAAGCTAAAATAGACACGAAAAAGACTTAAAAATATCCAAAATAAACATGAAAAAAATTAACAAATGCTAAAATAGACATGGAAAAACAAATAAAAGCTAAAACAGATACAAAAAAGACTAACAAAAGCTTTCCAATGCACAAAAACAAAAAACAAAAGGTAAAATAAACAAGAATATGACTAAGAAAAGCTAAATAGACACGTGAAAGACCAACAAAAGCTAAAAAAGAATCGACAATAGAAACAAAAGCTAAAATAAACATGAAAAAGAATAACAAAAGGTGAAAAATACACAACGAAGACTAACAAGAAGATAAAATAGACATGATCAACAAATAAAAGCTAAAATTAACATGAAAAACACTAACAAAAAGTGAAAATTACAAGAAAAAGACTAACAATAGATG